GAATGCGCGGCTTTGAAAGACAAAATTGAAGACTTAATCAAGCAGGGGCAACTACAAGGCTTCATAGACCGTCCGACCTCATCCCGACACGTCGACCGGTCTCAGCGGCATGATCAGCCTGATCAGAGGAGAGCGGGAACACACTCATACAGGGAACGTAGCCGGTCGAGAGATAGGCGAGAGGAAGAGCCATCGGCGCAACCTCGACGAGTCATCAACACCATAGCCGGTGGATTCGCTGGCGGGGGCTCATCCTCATCGGCCCAACGGAGACACCTGCGAGCCGTTCGGCACGTGCATGCAGTAGAAACAACTCGTCGCCGCCTTCCCACCATCACTTTCACCGAGGCCGACTTTAAAGGCATCGACCCGAACCAAGATGATCCGATGGTAATCAGTGTTGAAATTCACAACGGTATTGTGCGTAAAACGTTGGTTGATCAGGGAAGTTCAGCCGACATCCTGTATTGGAACACGTTCAAGCAGTTGGGTATCCCAGAATCCGAGCTAGTTCCTTATGATGAACCTCTGGTTGGGTTCTCAGGCGAACGAGTCAAGACAAAGGGATATATCAAGCTGTCAACCCGGTTTGGGTTTGAAGGAGCCGAATATCGTGACATCTCGGTCAAATATGTGGTAGTTCATGCCAGCACATCTTATAATATTCTGCTCGGCCGGCCCTCCCTGAATCAGCTTGGGGCGGTTGTGTCCACCCCTCATTTAGCCATGAAGTTCCCGGCCGAGTCAAAACGAGTCATCACGGTCCATGCTGATCAGAAGACTGCGCGAGAATGCTACTTTGCCAGCTTGCGATTACCAAGGGTGAAGGACGAAGCGCCTAAGGAGCTGAGAGGCGTTCACTCGGTGTCACAGCATTCGGCCATGGACCTCGACCCCCGAATCGATCAGGAAGAGAGGGTAGAACCCATTGAAGATAAGCAATCGGTTCAAGTGGGAATGCTGGAATCCCAAGTTACTTACATAGGTTCTAATTTATATGAACATGAACGATTGATTATCAGCCAAGTGATCCTCGAGAACAATGATTTATTTGCTTGGCATCCATCCGACATGCCTGGAATCGATCCTAATTTCCTCTGCCACAAATTATCAATAAGCAAGGAAGCAAGGCCGATTGCTCAACGGCGCCGGAAAGCCGGAGAGGAAAGGAAGGCAGCAATTGAGGCCGAGGTCGGCAAGCTATTAGATGCTCGGTTCATCCAAGAGGTGCATTATACAACCTGGCTGGCCAATGTAGTCATGGTAAAGAAGTCGAATGGGAAGTGGCGCATGTGTACCGACTACACCAACTTAAACAAAGCTTGCCCGAAGGACGCCTACCCCCTACCAAATATTGATCGGCTTGTGGATGGGGTATCTGGTCACAAATTTTTGTCTTTTCTGGATGCGTACTCCGGATACAATCAAATCCGTATGCACCCCCAAGACGAAGAGAAAACTGTGTTCATCACCGAAACGGCCAACTACTATTACCGAGTGATGCCTTTCGGATTGAAAAACGCTGGAGCCACCTATCAGCGACTGATGAACAAAATTTTCAGTAACCATATTGGCCGAAGTATGGAGGTGTACGTCAATGACATGGTGGTAAAGTCAAGCGACGTATCTGCACATGCACAAGACTTGACCGAGGTGTTCCAGGCGCTTCGGCACCACCAAATGAGGCTCAACCCCGAGAAGTGTATGTTCGGGGACTCAGGCGGCACAATATATTTTCTGACATATATTTTCTTTTGAATATATTTTATTATATTGTTAGTCAAAATTTATTGACAATTACAAATTTATGTAACTTGTAGTTTTTGTTTAATGAGTCATTCTCCCGATTGATAGTGTATTTTTATTTTATTGATAATCCAAAGTGTTTTGAAAGGATTGTACATGGGTTATACAAATATAATAGTTGAATTTGATTTCATGCTAGTCGTAAATTAAGCTTCTTCAGCACATGCATGCAAAACCTTAGTGAAGGATAAATTTGCACATTCATGCAACTGAAAGCATGTATTTCACGAATCCAACCAAGTAGGTGACCTTTTAATTAAAGAGGAATTACATTTCGTTTTATTTATTGTAATTATTTTGTTATGTCTCCTTTTATTTCTTTTGTCATTTTGTCTGGTGATTATATGACTCATTTCTCTAGTGGGTATTAAAGTTTATAGTTGGAACTTTCTTTTGTGAGTGGGGCTTTTGAACCCTTCTTTTTACAATAAATTAAATCCTTAGATTTTGACTTCATCATTTTGACAATTTCAACTTCATTTTTTTTAATTTATGTGTACAGCATAAATTTGACTAAATTACATGGTAAGCACGTGATGTCTAAGAAAAATCATTTCATATTATTAATAGGTTTCATGCAGAGTTAATTTAACATTTTTAGCTGGTAATTTTTCGATTTAAATATCGAGTTTCTTTTGAAACTCACTATTTAAATGGAAAAAAAAATATTGTTTTTTTCATTTAAATATTAATAGGTAACTCTAATGAAGTAAGTTGAAAATTATAATCCACACCATTTTGTGACGAGTTGCCGAGTTGGCCCGGAAAAATTAAGTGGCGTTGAACTTTGTAGGTTAACTGGCTAAAAAACTAATATGATGTTTTTTTAAAAAATTGAATGGGCCAAAATGTTGATCTTTAAATGGGCTAATAGTGTGGACCAAAACAGAGAATGGCCCAAAAGTGAAAAGAGATTTCTTTTATTTAGTATTATTTTAACTATTATTTTTAAAATATGTTTAAATGTAGATATACACTTTTGTTTGAATATTGAATATTATAATTGTGAATTTTTATATAATCAAAATAAATAAATATTTTATATGAATTATATTATTATAAATATGATAAGTTACAATAAATAAACATTTTTAATTTATAATAAATTTTTAATTATTTTATATTTTTAAAATATTGTAAAAAATTATTTTAGGGATAAAAATAAAATAAAACTTATTGAAAAAGATAAGTGATTAAGAGTATCAACTATATAAACATTATTAAAGGATAATTTAAATGTTTATATATTATTATTTTGACATGACATATAACTCTCTATTACTTACTCTGTTCTAAAAAAAAATATTTAATTTCTTAAATTTTTTTTTTTAAAATGCAACATACATTTTCCCTTAATTCATGAGAGAATTTTTATGTGACTCCAAAAAAGAAAATACTTTCTTTTTTATTTTTTCTCTCAAATTGTGAAAATTTAGTATTTTCATCATATTTTTTCTCTCTCAAATTTTATTTATTTACACCCAAAAAAGAATGGGATCAAGGACGTATTTCAAAAGATTGTTTTCTTAAAATTTCTTAAAAAATATTTTGAAAAATTGAAAATTGTCCAAACAAATTAAATATCGATATTCTTCTACTTTGAAAATTTTTTAAAAAAAAAATACAATAGGAGAGTTAAGAGAGTGAACAAATATTTGAATTTTATTCAATCTCTTGAATCATGTTATATTGAAATGCTTGAATATACTCTACACCACACACTTCTATATTAAGTAAAATTTAACGTGGGTCTTCGATCTTGATGGTCTATTTTCTATTTGGTGGGTGTAATTCCAAAATTAATAGGATTTATGTTGTTTTTAAAATGCGCTTAACGTAAGTGTATTTTATTATAGTAATAATAACGTGTAAAGTTTAAATATCAAATTCTAAGGAATAAATTTAAACAGTTACTAATCTAGTCTTGATTTTTAACGATTTGAAGAAATAGAATTTGATTGGAAAGAATAATGATTTAAAAATTAAGGATTAAATACTAGATTTTTTTTATTAAAATAAAAAATATGAGAGTTATGACTTATTATTTTTTATTCCCAAAAAATAAAAATATGTATTTAGGAGTACTTTAAGGAAAGTACAACTCTACATATTGATAAACAAAATCATACTTTGTAATATAATCGTACATCTCACAAGTACAATTATACATATCTTCAACTTTTACAAATGTTACATTTTATCCCTTAATTACAATGACTTCATTCTTTTTTTTTTTTTTTTTTTTTTTTACACA